GTGTGTGTGGCGTGTGTGTGTGTGTGTGTGTGTGTGTGTGTGTGTGTGTGTGTGTGTGTGTGTGTGTGTGTGTGTGTGTGTGTGTGTGTGTGTGTGTGAACACACGGTCAGATGAAACGAATTCCATACATACGAGGATGCGCGTATATTGAAACGTGTGTAGAGAGACGTATGATCAATAAAACGTTACGGATGAAATTTTTCTCTTTTTTCTTGTTTTATTTTCGTGTTTTTATTTTTAATACTTTGTCCGTCCCGCTTGAGCGTAGCAATTTCGAGATAGGGCGCAGTTTTTCCATCCTGTGGTGTTCATCGTCTGATACGGTTAATAAAATACGGGAGTTGCAAAATAAGACGAGTTGTTTTTTTTTTTTTTTTTTTTATTGTTCGATTTTGTTTCCACGAAGGGATACGAACGATGCGTATTTTCTATAATTATCGAGGATTTTATGAGAATGTTTATGAGAGTGATTAAGTGAAGAAGTGAAAATTTTATAAATCTCTCGATTTATTTTCGAGAGCATGTTGTTCGAGAGATATTTAAAAATAAAACTTCTTCAAATTGCTCTTGAGAGTGCAGTTTTCTCTCGAGTGATGCACGCTGATAAAAATTATTATTGGACAATCATTATCAAACGCAGCAGTTCGAAAAATATTCTCGAGAATGGTATTCTCTTAAAGGAGAATTTTTTGGCAACAATCGAATGGGTAAATTTTAAAATAAATTTAACGAAACTCGACGAATATTATTATATACATGTATATATATTTTCAATTGAAAATACTTTCACGAAACAAGTTTAAATACAAGTGAGAATCGCAAAAGTTATTCATTCTTCTTGCAAAACTGCCCTCTCATCGTGTATTCGAAATTCAACTCGAATTACCGGATCCTCGAAACAATAATATCGATCGATGGTAACTTTATCGGCTAAACAATTATCGAATTAAATCTCTGGAATCAATAATTTCTCGTAAAAAAATAAAAAAAAAAAAGAAGTACACATCAACAAAGAATAAAATTATCCTTTTCGTCATGCGCAAATGCGAATACGAATATCAAAAAAAATAAAAAATAATTAAATAAATCGAAAAACGAGGAATGGAGAAAGATGGTGGAGAGAGAAGAAACGAGTGGAATGGAAGGATGGAAGGGTGGTGGAGGATTCCGTTGCTTCGGAACGGAAATTTAATTTTCCGCTTGTATTTCCCTTTGTTCGCCCCCGTGTCCACACCGCGGACAAACTTGGCCGTGGAATTTTACAAAAGCAAATCGACAACAACGACCAGGCCTCTCCCTCGCGGCCTGGTTCTCGATACGCGTTTGTCCTCGGAAGAAGAATGCGCGCGAGAGAATTATTGTTCGTGAGCGGAAGACGAGGGGAGGGGCGGGGAGGAGTGGGTGTTGTTTTTAATAAGAGACGGGGGGAAGGAAGGTTTGCAGGAAGCAAATTTATGGAAACGATATAGGCGGAAGGAGAGGAGGGTTGGCTCGGTGGAAATAGTTTATTATCGCCTTCCTTTTCTCTCCCCTCCCCCCCCGTTCGAGGGTTTGATGTAGAAATGAAATAAAAAAATTCGTGGTTTCGTGGTGGAATTTTTCTCTTTTTTCTTTTTTTTTTTTTNTTTTTTTTTTTTTGGAGGAGGGGAGGGTTGATTGTCCGAAGGAACCTGGATAAATGCGACGGATGTGGGTTTAATTTTGAAGAAGATGTTGCGTGTCTGATTAAGCGTGATATAATTCTAGTTAATTAATTGTATTGAATTTAATCTAAGTCGGATTAAGGTTTGGAGAAAAGGATATTTGTTAAAGAAGTTGTATTCTTATTTATTCTTTTTTTTTTTTTTTTCTAAAGTTCTTACTTCTCTTCTAGAATTTAATTCGAAGAATGTGTAATTCTAAGTTGATTGATTGTATTGTAATTTAACTAAATCGGATTAAATTAGTCAGAGGGGAAAAGGTCAGTCTAATTCTTGAAGAATGAAATTATTCGACGATTCATCCTTACTTTTTTTTTTTTTTTTATAATAACGTCACTTTTTCTCGAGATTCTTAACAAATACGTAGATTTGAATTACGCGATTTCTACTTAATTGTACGCGAATTTAGCCAAATCGGATTAACCTTATTTGACGAAGAAAAGGATATTTATCAAAGTTGTGTAAACAGCATCGGTCTAATCTCGAAGAATGGAATTATTAATGGAATCGTTGGAAATTTCAAGTTTCAATTATTCGACGATTTATTCTATTCTTTTTATAACGTCATAAAAGTCTTCTTCCCTTCCTTTCACACCGTTTCATTAAAACTTTTATCGGATCGAAGGATGAATTTAATAATAAATTATTTCCCCCGCGAAATTAGACATTTCTATGCATGGTATTGGGGGGGGGGGAGGGTTGGATCGTTACGAATCCCTGCATAAATAATCGAATCGTTTCCTCTATTTTCTTCCAGATGCGCCATCCGATCCAGATGAAGCCCGCGGACAGCGAGAACAGAAACGGTGAGTAAAAATTCACAAATGCCCCGTTCCGTGGCAAACTTCCATTCTCTTCCCTTCTTTGCTTAAACACGAAACTGAAACTGCTGTAATAAACACGTTGCTTCGACTTTCGAAAAATCGATTATTGGCTCGATTATCCTTCCACAACAACGAATAATTACATTTTACATGTATAAATATATTTTTTTCAAACTACAAATTATTTCATTCTTGAAATTTCATTCTAGAATATAAATCAAAAATTCCTTCTTGCGTTGCATCGACGAGAATTTTTTAAAGATTCTATAATTCAATCAACCTTTCCACAACTTTTAATACCGCGTAATATAAAGATCGTTAACTTGTTCTTCATCCACGCGAGCAAAAAAAAGAGGCAAGAATCATTCGTGATAGAATCGATCGTGGAAAATCGTGTCTCTCGATGGGAAAAGAGTGTGTTCTTCAACATCCTCGTCGTTTTCCCTTCGTCGTCCCTCCCCGACTCGATTATATCTTCTTCTTTGACTGCACAATCTGCGCAACCCCCTCAATCCAGCCAATTAATTAGCGAACTTAATGAACAAGCTTTGAACCCATATTCTTCGCCAGTCGAAAAGGGAAAGGAGAAATTGAGAACGAAAAGGACGCAAGGATATCCCTCTCTCCCCCTCCCTCGTCTAACGATATCAAATTTTATACCCGCCTTATCGAGTAATGCTGTTTGCGACTCTTGATTGCGATAAATTACGAGAGAGAGAGACAGAGAGAGAGAAAGAGAGACGTGGTTTCCAATCCTCAACCTTTTTGAATAATTTTTTTAACTAATCTTCTCCACTCACTCTGAATATTAACACGAGGAGCCACGAAAAATAAAAAGCCAATCCTTTGAGCAACTGGAAATAAATTTCTGATACATATATATATGTTGTGCAAAAGTGTAGAAAAATGTGTGTGCAACGGTATCGTAATGGAAATCTGTGTGCAGGATGGAGGAAAATAAAAATGGAGCACGGGCGTTGGACGGATGAAAAACGAATGCTAATGAAATATTAACGACACCCGTCACGTGCTATGGCCCCAGCTGGACCAAGAATCGCGCTCATTTTTTCGATCTCTCCTTTTTTCCCTATTTTTTCCTCTCTCCTTTTTGCAACACCACTGTCCGGAAACCGCATGGCTATAACAGGTACACGTGACGGGGGGATGACGAGGAAAGAGTCGCTCGAATCGATGCGCAGAACCCCGTGCGTTTTATTTTACACCGTGTTTTCGAACTGGTGGAAATTCTGGTGGAAAAAGGAATCTTTAATAATACACGAATCGTTTCATTTTTACGTCGACTTTTCACCTCCTCGCCGATAAAACTCGTGTCGATCCGTGAAAGACGACCGAGAAATAGTG